AAGTAAAAGGAAAAGTTGTAATATTGAAAAAGTTCGCTGACAAAATCTGGATGAAAGTGGTGGCCGTTCAAGTACTGGCCAAAGTAGTAACTAAAGAGTAGCTGTGTTCACTTACCTTGAGCTTCTTTATAGCCAAGCCGAGGCGTTTCAGATGGCCTAATCTCTTCACGCCTATGTCCTCGAAATCCTCCCAACTCAACTTCATCACCTCTTGAACTGAATCATAGCCTTGGGAATCGAAAACGCTGATGTATTCGGGTAATGCCAACAACGTAAGCCATTCACTAAATTGACAAGTATACAAAAACGAACCCCGTCTAAAAAGTAATCAATCAATAATGCGTCCTGAAAAGAAAACAAGCCTTAACCTTAAGCCTCCTTGTGGTGGAACAGATGGCCAACTGTCAGTGATTTGCCAGCTATGGATCTCATTCATCAATCGTTTTCGATGAGCTGGATTCGTTATCCCCAGAGACAGCAGATCCTCGGGCGTGATTCGAGCTAAACGGTTCCCACATGGGTAATGTTCCACTTGATTACCAGTTTATTGGCTTCAGTAATCGTCAAGATTACTGGTAAAGAAGATACTATGTACTTTTGACGAACCTATTGACGATAAATCATATCCTTGGGTCAGAAATAGCGCCAGATATTCAGCCATACCAATCTTATCCAACCATAGGGCTAATATTTCAGCTTCGGGTACTCCTTTTGCTACCATTTGGGTTACATTAACGGGCGTTTCGGATGATGACGAATAAAAAGACTCATCAAGAGCGTCAACGGATGATGAAGCGAGTGATGATGACCCACTAAATGTTGATATTACGGTATGAAAAAGGAGTAAAGGAGATTCATCACAAGCCAGGAATGCCACAAACCTTCCACCGCTTCCACTTGAATGTACACTTATTCGGCTTGGTGGTGAATCTGTATGGCTGCTGGGTGTGAGTAAGGATGTCGTATGGAAAGAGGACGATGATGATGAAGCCGATGTTGTACCATGTGACTGAAAAACGGTTGTTTAATGGAAATATTGCCTTACTATTCCCCCATGCACTTCCTGACACCATATCTAATATTGTCATCAGTGGGATGAGCCCCATTTGTCCATCATTTGAACGGCTGATGAGTGGTGGCTAGCCGGACGGCCGGCCGCCGGCTGCACTGATCTGTCACACCGATGAAAAGCGCTGTCTCTCGAACCATGAAACCCAACACGACTATTGAATCTAACGGACAATGGAAGCCAGCGGTTTCGGCTAGTTGAAAGAAAGCTTCGGGGGGTACATTACTACTAAGAAACTGGTATGTCACATGACTGGAACGATGATAATGGCCCCTCGAAGAGATACTTTTACACCAGCTCTAAGTAGCGTAATACCCAGATTACTTGAATGCTTTACGAGATATGTCACATCCTTACCTTCATGCTTTCGAATCCAGAACTGCCTTGACTTGAATTCGATCCCGTCGAAATACGATGCGATGGATCCGGAAGCACCGACGTTGAAGGATACGCCAAAGACGTCATCCCTAAAATGAAATCTTTGGAGCCATGAAGAAATAGGACCACATTGACGAAATTCTTCGTATTGATGAAAGCTAGACAGCCAAGTTTTTCTTTACCAAGTTACTGGAATGTACTTGTAAATCAACTTGGAAACTTGGAGACGTCGCAATATGACTCATAGTTCAATAGGCTCAGCATTTGCTGACATTTATGGAAGACTGATGAAATTGGGGTGGGCGTGAATAGTGTTTGGATGAAGCGGGCAGAGGAAACTCGTACTAAAAAAGCTGCATGCAAGATTAGAGAACTGTTTTGGCTACTTGTAAGGCTCTGAGGAGACGAAAATGAAGAAGTTTGGACGGGATTTCAACATATTTGAAAGCCCAAGAGTCTATGAGGCGCGCTAACGGATACCAGTTATGGCAGGTTTTGTTAAATATCACAACCATGGCGATCACTCCAACAGCCTTACCCTTTTGGGAGAGGCTGACTGAACGTTTTTACGTTAACACATTTGCCTCCGTCAATTTGATTCCATTTATCGGGGTAAACGAGTTATTTCGATAACAGGATGAAGGAATGTGAAAAGGAGAAATACGAAGAAGGAGAAAAATAGAGGAAAATGCCTGTGATACAGCATAGCCGAAGGAAAACACTGCTAGTATAGGAGACAATGGAGAGGTACGAGCTTGAGGGCGTGATGATTAACGCTTTGCGCTCAAAGGCGAGAATACAAGCCATTCCAGTAGATGCCCCAGACACGGGCAGCGCCTTGAAATCAAACACCCTCACAACACCCAACATCATCGACACACACCCACATTTGACTAAAATAGTACCATAGCAGTAAGTGATATAAAAATGCTCTATAAAAAAGCAAAGGAGAAGGCGCAAAGTAACCCTAAAAGCTGATAAATATGAGAAATGGAAGTTAGAGAAACTATAAGCTACAAAACTAACCAATGCATAGTCAACAGATGAAATACCATCGTTCTAGGCATTGTGAGGTCAGATAAAAGTAGATGATCTATAGTTATAGTTAGAGGTAAATCGTCAAATAATCATTTAATCTAATATCGGCATGTTTTAGTTTGTAAAAAGTATCAATGGTACATATGATCCTAGCAATACACCTTTTTCTAGAATCAACATTCTTCTAAAAATAAAAAAGAACTTTATTAAGATATAGGTATCAACCTTCACCAAGCGGTACACTTCGAAATCAGCAATTATCAATCAGTAATCACCCTTCCCAATACTTTGCATCTTTCGAGTCAAGCACATTTTTCAGGCCTAAACTTTTCCGACAAAAAAATAAATAAAGAAAAAATATTGATCTAACATGAGGTTTCACTTCATATTCAGCGTTTGTCAGTCTGCAAGCATATCTATTTATTTTTTATTTTAATAAAGTTTTCAGAAGCTCCCTGTCTTCAAAATAATGCACCCTTTTTCAGGAGATTATTGTTCGATAAAAAGAATCTAATTGAACTATATGGAGCTACTATGCAGTACACTTCATTATCATTCATTATCAGGTGCCACCTTTTCTTTATTACTGACCCCTTCGAAGGTTAAATGACTTAATATGGAAACGATGTAATGAAAAAACCGCAGACAGCTGATCATGTCTACTGACTTGTTATTATTACTCGAGTAATTTTTTTAATTGCCGTACTCAAAAAAGCGCTTACTACGTAATGACGTAGATCTTCCGGTACAACTTGGGTACACCTACACTACCTACGGTCTCTGGTGACCACACTATCTCCTCAACATTAATCCAGCACTTTTCGAAGAACACGTTCAAAAAATCTAATCGATGCCAAACTAAAAAGTAAAATAACCTAGGTTATCCCCATTTCTGTGTAGCGGAGAGCCATATAGTTATGTACACAAGCCGATGCAAGTGCATCTATTAGGGAATGCCTTCAAAAACTAATCGAAATAGTACATTCGAAATAAATGGTGCATGCATATACGCGCATGAAGACTCAGCGTAACGGGAGATGAGAAAATTCGTGGGAGGAGGAGGGAGAGAGTGTGGAAGCTGTGAAATAGTGCGGATACGAATTCAATCTGCATCCCCATGCTGTGTAAACGAATAAAAACTATTCAACTAGTAGCAAACGTTTCACCACATCATTACTAAAGTACAACATTTTCTTACTTCAAATAGTAAAGTGGTTCAAGTATGTGCAGCCGGGTGTTGCTGAAGGGCTACCTACATACCCACACACACACACACGCATATGCGGACGGACAAGAAAGAAACACCGGCTGAAAAGCGTCGTGCTTGATTCAGACTAGTTGTGGAAACTTTGTCATGCTTTTGAAAAACACCGTCGAAATGTTCAACGCCACACAGCCAGCTACACAATACAAGGGTTGAAGTGAAGAGTTGTGCATAACGAAAAATCCCCGCTGCGAACTTTTTTTTCCACCTCTCCCTCACTCCTTTCCTGAATATTAGAGCATGGGCAGAAAATTGTGTATAGAGTGCAAAGGGGAGGACGAGAACGGAACCGACGGGGATGCAGCGACGACGCCGTCTACTACTCTTCCGACGGCACAATCGTCGGCGCATAAGGTCGACAACGAAACAAAGGCTATGGGCAAAGGTGCGTGAAATAAAGGATAAGCGGATAAAATGCTTAGCGATTGTCTACTCGTTCGAAAATATGCCAAGGAAACGACCTCTACTCGAACTCATAAGGGGTTCAGCGGCGAGAAGGGTGACGATTCACTCAAACCATTTTTTATTCGCTCAAACAGCTTTCAGTTTCTCTTCTATTGTATACTCCGCATGTTAGCTATTTAGTTCCAAATACTATTGCAGCATTATATCATTATTATTTATTACTATTATCTATTATCTGTTATTGGTATATTACTATATTATCATTCATTATTATCATTTATTACTATTATCATTTACTATTATCATTTATTATTATTTATCATCATTTATTATCAATTTGTTATTCATTATCTATTGTTAAGTGAACTACTATATTTACTGTTTAATAAACATATTTGAATCGTATTATTCGATGACCCACAGACCAGAAAAGACTGAATGCTCAGGTTGAACCGCAGCGCGAAATCCGATCCTGCACACCATGCATTTGGGAAGCACCCCAACCATCACCCCAGCTTTGGTCTAATGTACTAGTTGAAAATTCGTTAATACTACTTTTTATTCATTATAAAGGGCTCAAAAGAACAGTCCATTAGTATCATTTTGTAAATGGAACTACAAAAAATGTACTTTGTCCAATATTGCCTCGTCTCTATGACTACATACATACCTACATGAACCGTCATATGTAAACGGACATAAGTAAGCCGAAAAAAGCAATGAGACCCTCACTAGTAAACACACTTTGTTAATTCTTTCTAGTGAGGCCACCCCTTCTTCGTTCATACTGTGATTTACGGACCACTCCCTCTCTCTCTGCTCTGGGCCTTTGAGGAGGATGACCAAGTTGGAACTTTAAACTAAAAATAGTGAATAAAAATCAAACTGTTGGACGATTTCCCGAGTAAATCAAACCGTGAAACAGGATTTATTGGCAGAGCGATTGTCAAAAAACTTCGCGAAATCGATGCTTCATGATATTACTAGAATTCAGCGATATGATTGAGGGAGAAAAAATATAGGAATGTCACAAAATCCTCCTGAGAAAGTCAAGAGACCCACCTACCCATGGGCAACAACAATCGGGTGTTCTGAATGGAATTATAAGTACATCGAGAGGAAGTGGTTGTGGCCGTTCAATCGCGCATATTGTGTTGACCCGACAACGGACCACCACGAAACACACAGCGCACTCTCGCATGAATAATTTGAGGGTCGAGCCATCATTACGATTGCTCTCACTCATTCGCTCTCTCGACCCGACCCACACAGCAACACCCCGAGAGTTGCAGGAGCTGCTNTTGCACCCACCACAGGGCAACGGTAGGTAGCAGCTTGACAACACATAGTTGGAGAACGAGTGGGAGGGAGAGACTGAGCTATGAACGGAGAGCAGCAGCAGCAGCAGCAGCAGGACCACCAACATCGCGCACAACCGCAAATGCACATGTAATCCTTGACGAAAGCTGAACGTCAACGACCTGTCGGACCACCCGTTAAGCTGGGCATTTGCACACACCCACACAGACACATTTGCTGCATAATTACGGGGATTCACTGTGAATACGTTAATAGCATGAATATAATTTGGCAAACATTAAGTGATTGGTTGAACAGGTTACTAAAGCACTTAAGTAAAGTGGAAATTTCTCGTTCCACAGAGTTGCACCTTTACAACTCAGTAAAACTCCCAGGAACCTGAACCCAAGGTCGTTCGAAAACCTCAACGAGCTCTGTCATCTCTGAACAGGCACTGAGTTCAACACTTCTACTTAGTTTTTTCATTTCTACACCTCTAGTTATTACCAACTTGTATAGCCCCTACAGCCCCACTAAGTTTACATTTCAACTTACTTTTTGACATCAATAGTAACTATGCTTATCAAAGGAACATCAAGACGCCCTCAACATCTGATAAGTACCCAATTGCGCTGCCGGAGACCTCAAAACAAGGCGCTCTGGTTAAGGAGGACATGAAGCCGGATTAGAAGCACCTAATATTATATGATAGAGTAATTAGATTGTTAATAAAACCATTAAACCAATATTATTTCTACAAGTACGAACTGTACTGTATAAGACAGCCCCGGAACACTTCATTTTTCATTTGTAAAGGTTCGCTTTTCAGTCGTAGAAATGCACAAAGGCACAAGAAGCTAAAGTCAGAACCAGGCGGATATTCAACTGAATAAACGAGTCATGACCTTCAAAAAGTCGCACCACCCACTGAATAGAGCTTTTCTTCAGCGATCTGAATAGAACGTGGGAAGGCGGAGAAAAGTGTCATCGACCACCCATATTGAGTGCATGAAAACTGTATAAGAAGGACTTCAGATGAGCCATGAATACGACATCTATTCAGAACCATAGCAATAATTGAAAGCGTATCCCGCCTACATAGCTAGTTCTACGGGTCTTGCGACATTTTTTCATCCACCCAGACAAATCTACTATTTTTCCCTTCCGTAGGGAGTGAGGTTTAAAGCAACCGATGAGGTATTCCAAACAAAACTATTACAGTCGACAATAAACCAATATTACTACCAACAAAGCGATCGACTACCCAGCAATACATCACAATGTAATGGCCAACATCGATTGTGAAGCACTCATTACTAGTTTATGACAAAATATATAAATTAAAATAGCAGAAAACTTGAGAAGCATCATCGTGGCCGACAAAATCACGAACAGCTGGGAATTGTCCACCTTTCACGCACTGGAAACTCAGGTCAAACTCAGATGGCTGTGTACTTGTAAACATGCAGAAATTATGACGTCACATGGAGTAAGCAAGGAGCCAGCCAGCCGTCAACACGATCAACACCAATCGTCACGTCCAATGATGTTGCTAATGGTGTTGTCGACGGCTTCAATGAATGAGCGTGTGAACGAACGAATTCATCAGAAGTTTTGACAGAAAACAAGCGATGCGATGAGAAGCGAGGATGCAGGCAGGCTGTGGTGGAAGGCTTCCTCTTTTGATGGGACTTCGGATATTGCGCCGAACGAACCGAATGAACGAAAGTGTTTGCTGCTAGAAATCAAGAGCGATGGCCATACGATAGTGGCCAGCCAGGCAGCAGATAATGCGTGTGAATCCTCTTTGAGGTTTATGTGAAAACATCGTTGGCTGCTATTGGCTTCACTGAGAAAGATTATAGGGGTTTTTGGAGTATTTTAATATTGCTTAGCCTTATTCTGCGAAATGAATACATCAAAGGGCCTTAAAGGGCCTTAAAGGCCTTAAAAGGCAGTTACAAAAAACGTATATTTCAGTGGCAAACATAGGCAATACTTGCCTACTTCTTGCCGACGAAAATGAATCGAGGGCGTCAACGTTTAAGAGTAGGCGGCGTTGATTGAGGGCGACAAAGAGCACCGAATGAAATGTATGCATATAGCTAGGCTATGCTAAGCTAGGCTCGGCTAGGCCGACGGCTACTAGCCTGGTCGGATTTCGGGCCCCACTCCTGGCTGGCTGGCTGGCACTCCCCTCATTCCACCTGTGAATGAAGCAAGTAATTGGAGCTGCACGGGAAACGAATTTGAGAAACTGGCCTACGCACTTCCACCATCATATTGGGTTAGGTCAAATTGAAAGGAAAACAATGTGCGAAGTCAAGTAATGTTTGTTGATTAGTACTAGTATAACCTCGAGTTACACTTACTGCAAGCTTTACTCGGGATTTACTTTTGCAAGGAAGAAAAGTGATCTTCGATCCACAAGAGCAACATGCCACAACTAAGATGGGCTCCTTGATTAGTGAATTTTACTCAGCTATTTTACAGAAATTTCAAAGTGAGCGGGATGTATGTAGATCAATCGATATCATCCATTATCTCACCGGAACATCTCAGAGGAGCATTCATGGTCTGGAACATCAAGTCGTTTCTAGCAGGGATACCTTATGCTCTCCAGGAGTTCCAGTCAAGAGGATTTAAAATTAAAGTAAATAATGAAATCCACCGTATAACGAGATATCAAGTAGAATACATAGAGATAGAAAGAATAAAAAAATGAAAGGGAGAATGAAAGATATCGAGACAAACATAAAGCGAGATAATCCAATATTGACAATTAGACACACACTGCTACGACGATAAACACACTTTCTCGCCACCCGATAAATACCTTGTTATGAGAAAAGTTAATTAAGAAATGATATAGTAATCAATTCTTGTAAACAACAATAATACTTCCTTTCTCACTGCTACGCACATGGAGCGTATATAAATTAAAATCAATTTTTTACAAATGAAAACATGGCACCAGAAAAACCTCATTCATTCCATTTTGCTCCTTTCTCTTGATGCTTCATCTATCTTGAGTCATATCTAACTAAATCCATAATTAGTAACTAAGTAGCGCTCAGCAGCTTCTTTATATCTTATTGACATTACTATGTAATCCATCTAATGCGTCCGTGAAGAAATAGACTACAGTATACAAGAGTAATATCCATTAGTTTGCATATTTAATATGCAAAATTTCTAAAATATATATTTTTAATTTGTAAAAGAGAAAGGTCAGCGAATCTCTCTCTTTACACACATTCCTCAAAGCATCTAACTTTTTTATGGCTCTTTTATGGCTTCGTACAGCTTATTACAATTCCGTAACCACAATTTTTATAGCTTTTTATAGCTTTTTTTTACTACAACACTTTTACTTTTTTTTACTAAAAGCAACAAATAAATCAAAAGAAAAAAACAGGTCAGAGGTTCGCTATCCATCCAGAGCAAAAAATTCTGGGGCTAAACAGTTAAGTGGCTCCTTCACAGTAATCCTTTCAGTGAAAAAAAAACTAGAAGTTACTCCCATACTACTCGATAATTTTAGGCGATACCTTGTACACTTCTCGAAATAGAGTTCTACGAGTAAGAGTAGGTGGAAAGGCAATTACCCCATTCAGATTTTTTTTTGCTCCCAAAAAATCGCCCTTTCGAAATCCGTCGCGAAGTTCGATTTGTAAGTCCATTGGACGGGCATGGGAGCAGCTTAGATGAAAGAAAAAAGAGTTGCGGAGCATATTTATGGGAAAAAACGAAAGAAAAAATCTATGTATAGTATAAATGCATGAGAAAAAGGCTTCGCAATCAACAGCCATAAAACCGATTACAATGACAATGTAGTAGAGTAAAAAGAGGAAAGATTCCTCCTTCTCTGGGAAGTCACAGTGGGCGGAAATGAAGGTTTTCAAGGAAACAAAGAATCTGGGAAGATAGGCAAATGTATGAATGTTGCCTGAATATGAATGTGATTCGAATTTATGAGGATTGGGAGATGAGAGTGCCCGAGCGATGGGAAGCGATGGGAAGCGATAACGCAGTGATGAGGCCGAAATGCTGCCGGGCACAATACCCCTTGTTCGCTCTCACTTACTCTACTCTACTTGCAGCATGATTGGCGATATTCATGACATGGCGCTCGAGCCACCGGGGATATTTTGTCGTCGTAGATGGATAAATCTCGACAATGGGTAGCGGCACGACCGACGGCCACCGCAACCGTCGAGACTGCTGCTGCTCACGGCTGTTCGTCGACATTCGTCGTCGTCGTTGTCGTCGTCGACGTCGTCGTTTGCCAAAACGTTATGATGGCTCACATCTGGCTATCGGCGATCGAACGCGCGTCCATCGCTCGTATATTCCCCACACATGACATTCCGCATATCAAGTCGTAAAACTGAGCGCCGATTCGCCTCTCAGATGCACATATTCGAAGACACGAGATTCTCGACATGAACATAGTAATCGTCGTTAGGCAGAATTAGATGGGGAAACTGAAGGCAGACGACAATTTGGTGGTGGCGACGTACGACTGTCGTGCTCGTCTGCCACCATGACTAACAAACATGAGGCACATTTGATGAGGAGGCAAGCGGCATGAGGATAACTTGATTCCAAAGCACCAGAGTGTACAATGATGAGCCGGAATTCAGTTAAAGAACTCAAGCATGAGCGTGGTGAAAGAAGCATGAACGTCTCGATTGGCTCTATAAATAACGATAGTCAGTCAGTCTCTGGCTGTCAGTCAGTCAAGTGAAGGACATCGTTGTAGGGATGAGCGATGGCGACACCTTCGCGACGAGCATGCCAACGTCGTCCGGCGTCAAACGCTATGCCGCCGCCGCTGCCGACGCCGCCGTCGGCTTGGCACGAACGCTCGAGCTCTCGAGCGTCGCGTCTTGACGACGATTAGCCCGATCTGAGTTTATTGAGTTGGCGGGCGTTCAAGGGTTCCGACACTCTAATTTATTCATGGCTACTGCTTTGTCGGCTTATACTGTTAGAGTGAGAATGGGGCGAAGAGCGAGACAGAGGAGGAGGAGGAGGAGCAGGCGGATAGCAAGGAAATAACAAGAAAGGAGGATGGGTGAAGTAGGCCGAAAAAAGAGGTTCATATTGTGGTTGGGGCAGTGTCAAACTCATTAGCACAATGTCGACTAAATGCATTGAAAAACCTCAAGCTGAAGCCTGTGACGAAAGAAAAGGAGCTTTAGCAGCCATAGCAAAGGATATTGAAAAGATGGCATCATAGGCCATTATTAAAATGAAAATGGTCACAAGAAGTAGGCAGGGGGACATGCAGAGAGAGAACTTACCAGTATTTCGGGCTCCAAGCAATTGTCCAACGTCCGTGCCATAGGCCATTATTAAAATGAAAATGGTCACAAGAAGTAGGCAGGGGGACATGCAGAGAGAGAACTTACCAGTATTTCGGGCTCCAAGCAATTGTCCAACGTCCGTGCCATAATTTGAAAACGATGACGAAGAGTGCGTACCAAAAACAGTTGGACGGCAACCTCTGCAAAATGACAAAGAAAAATAAGATTGCCATCATTTTAATGGAAATGCGCCGAGAGAAGCCCAATAACAAGATTTCGCAGCCACTACATTCTGGTCTTTTTCGATGTGAAAAACGTTTCTGGGCGAAAATTTTGAAGTCGATCCGGATATTTACGCAATTCACAATGAAAAGGAAGTTTAGCAACGGCCGGATCATATGAACAGTCAAAAAAAGTTTCCCATTCAATTAAGCTGTTATTGTAGTTGTACAGGTGCGGTGGTCCCCTAATGAATGCCTGAACCCCTTGCGATGACTGGTCACAATGGACTGTTCTTAAACCCTAAGCAGTTGTGCTTCAGTGGTTGAAAGAACAGTGGCGCCGCTACCGCACTGGTGGTCTTAGGATCAAATCCCAATATCGACTTCCACATTAGCCGATTCCGATATACCAGCGGTATCAAATTCGCCAGAAAAATTGAAACGCAGAGGGTAGACCATTTGGTACCCCTGAACAGCTGTGTGGGTGAAATACATAAAAGTTATTTTCAATCTTGATGACGGTTAAGTGCGTTTGGCTCCCTAGGGCAGGATTGATTAAGGAAACAGCTCTGTGAAGACGGACTCCCGACTCCCACCCAGTGAGGTTTCCATAGTTTTACGTCATCGATATCATCGATATTTGTTCGACCAATTTCATCCAGAAGGAGCAATCGATTTCGGAGATCGATTTTAGAAAACATTTCGTAAAGGGGAGCATGCTTGAGGATTGTAACAAGTTACTTGTACTCCTACTTTCCCAATCCAGGAACGCAGTTCGGAAATCGGAAATCGACCCTTTTCTTCCTTGAAAACTTGTGAGTTTCACAAAACAATGTACGTCTCCACAATAGTCCCACTCGCATAACTGAACTTTCTGCCCTTATGTCTGATTACCTCTCGATGTTGATTTATCCCTTTTCAGGTTACGCCACAATTCGCCCCTCAGTCATGGCCGTAAGATGGTCCGAATGCTTATTTGGCCCTTTCATCGACGTAGGAGGTCTAGGCGTCTCACAACAGCCTCAAACTAAATAAACAAACCCGGAGCAGTGGTTTCCCGCACAACGGCGACGGAGGACCTAATCATTCGACCCCCTTTGTGGGAGCGGCATCTTTTGACACAACGCAATCTCCATTCGCAGTTATTATTAGTGAACCGCTAAAAAGAGTTACTTGAAGGCCATTCATTTCGAGTAAAAGATGGGACCCTTCACAAACAACGGTTTATAGCTTTCGCAGGACGAAATTTTCCGGAATCCACAAATGCATAGACCGTTTTCTAATGAAATGTAAGTTTGAAAATCAAAAATTGCTACTTAACTCGGTTGAAAATCTTTTCGCCCCTGAATCATTATTGGGGACCACAACCAGCCTAGTCGGGGCTACTTTATGATTCTCTAGTAGTCAATCAATGTTGCCATAATTGACTGGACGGAGTTTACGATAAGAGTTGACCCGCATCACAATAACAGCGCTATCATGTCGACCCCCTATGAACTTCACACTGCCTGAAATTAGGATGGTCCAACTACTGCTTAGTAGTATACTAGTTCTTGTAGGGTACCGATGGGTAGTCCGAGAATTTGCCCTAATGAAGCCTCTATTTTTCACCCTTTTCACCAGGTGATAACCAAATTTACCAAAGGACTTCGAGTAGGAAAGGGAGATGTAAAGAGGGGATTTTCTTTGATTCCCCACATTTAGATACTTGGTGGTAGCGCTGACCCCGAAATTTCCCAAAAAATAGGAATCTTTGAAGGATGAAAATTCCTTGCTAACTAACCGGTTACAGTTTTGCGAGTCACTACTGCGATCGTCACTCATTCGTGACGGCGAGGCCATAGATCGGCAGCTGAGATTGCTGCGAACATTGCGGTTCACATCGTCATCTATAAAATAGAGTAGTTAGAAAAAGGAATGTGTTACTAGTAATCGATATTTTGAAGGTTCCAGGCGATCTCGCTACATTAACAATACTTTGACCCCAAATTTGTTCAGTTCTTCGAAAAAAAAAAANCCCCCCAGACATACTCAGCTCGCTCAAAACCATGCTACTGCCATGTACAGTACAGTAACATTTACCAATCTTTTCGGGACCAAAAACTTACATTTACTTCTGTCAACCACGGACATGTTCGGCACCACAGGTACATTCACCTTCTTTGCCTGACGTCCTGACGAAGGCGCCGTCCCTTGAAACGGCGCCATAGCCACTCTTGACGACATTGAAATTACTGAAAACATTACTATTTACTTAAATAGTTAGTTAGTTGAAACTGTTGTTCCATAAAAAATCTCAGATCTTCTCCGATAAACAACTACTCCGTCGCTTCTCACCACTAAGTCGCCTAACTGTTGCTGGTGGTTTCCGGTTCGGCCTTAGAGTGGCGGCCTTTGTCCAATCTACAGCAACCTCCTTCGGTTTTTTAGGACGAGGCAAGGACATCACTTAAATTCCCGTCCTTAAAGTCACGAACTTCTGGTATACTTGTTATAGTACACGTATTAATCATAGAAATGGCGACGATAAGGCGGAATCCAAGAGGACGAGAAACAATCAGACAAAATGGCGGGGAAAATCAGCTTTCATAGAAATCCAGGGAAACCCTGATTCAGGGGATAACATTCAATAGTAGAAGATACAAACTTTCAAGTAGAATATGTTATGCTGCCGCTTATCAGCCTCCTGCAGCTCGGTCAACAGTCACTGGAAGAACAAAGATGGCCGGAACACCCAAACGACTATGAACAATATGGTTACAAAGGATTCCGCTGGTACAAGTGGGAGGGGGAGGACAGGCCCCCGTTTTACAGCTAAGCGGTCGATTGTAAGGCAAAGTTGTGTGAAGCCGTATTGGCCTAATGCCAGCCACCGAAACATAAAACTGTGGCCAACGTGGTGGTTGGTGGTGGTGGTGGTCGGGGGGAACGATAAAGGTCGCATCGCGGCTGTATGAACCATAAATATAATGATAGTTGGTGGCTAACCGAAATGTCAAATGATTGTGTGTACATACCACCACCTCCACCGCCACCTTCACCATCTATTCATACATCGGCCGCTTACTGGTATACTCGTCGATTACTGGTATACCCACTGGGAATACAGTAGGACAATAATTTNNNNACATGACACGATGTCATCATGTGGTTCACGCCATCATATTCATTGAGGGAATACCCTTAGCATGATCTTACACTTGTATGCTACCGTATATGTACCGTATGCGTATACCTATGGGTATTTGCGGAGTCGATGCACCGGAAAATGAGGGAAATAGAATGAAAATTTACCCATCACCAACCTACTGGGGAAATCTAGGAGAATGAAATCGTAAATATGAATTTTTACAGAAAAACTGTCTGAAACAGAATTTAATCTCACTGCGAACCAGCGAATTCGCTTACAACACAACTCATCGATACTACTAGGTTACGCCGAAACCTTTCAGGAAAGTTGAGCAATTCATCTTTCTCAATATCACAGGTTCCCAAAAAGTTCGCCTTCTATTGAAGTATTTTATAAATTGATAGATTCAGAAAAAACGCTTGACAGCCGAGCGGTCGTTGACGACAATCGATCTCATTTCGAGTTTCGTCAAGTACCCGACTTCCTTTCAGAACCGTTGAGTTATTCGAATGCATACTTGATCTTTGCAATAACTTGTGGAAATCAGCCGACGCACAAGTAAGTCTGTACTCGGTACTATGAAAGTAAAGTTGAAGGATGTATTCAAGGGCTTGAATTCTCCAGGCGGAGTTTGAGCCGGGATATAAAATTTGAGCAATACCTGCAAGATTAGTACCTGCCTAACCAAGACCACACCTTAGCTCCGTCTCGAATGAGTATTCGACGGTATTCTTAAAATGGTATCAGGTAACTGAAGAGGTTAGTTTATAATCTGATAGGTAAAACAGGTAAATTACAAGCTCCCATCGCCATACTGTAGCATTACCCCCATCACTTCTTTCCATGGTATCCCATATGAATAAAACGGGAAGAATTGTAGTTATTACGTCATAGAGAGTACTGCATTCATGACATAGCAATGTAGACTACTTTGAAGTTCCGTCAGGAGTTAGACAATGAGTCTAAAAAGTTCGAGCTATGTATGCATGCAGCGTTTGTAAAGGTTTGTTTTGCAAAACAAAACTGCATGAGAAACCTGAGCATGGCGTACGAGATAGATTAGTACTACCCACTGTGCTTAATGGAGAGAAATCAAAGTAGAAGAGGGTAAAAGGCGATATCAGGAAGATTCCGTCGAGGAGCTGATAAACCTCTCACTGAAGCAGCACAGCAACACTGAAGCAATCAGCTTCCAAGGAACATGTACCCTGCATGTGAAAAAGAGGGAACAAGAAAAATGTGGGTAAAAAATCGGGAAATACATAGGCAGCTGTCAGTTTTGGGTGTTATGGATGAAGATACAACGGCAACCACTTCGAGACACGAAATTCACACATCGAGAGAATCGACAAGCCTTCGACGTCTAAATCGGCTCCCTCAACTTGGACTGAGCCAATTTCAGAGCTCTTTCAATCGAAAAACTCCACATTAACCGGAAAATTTCAGTGAAGTTTGTAGTAATTACTTTCACACCATGTTTTGACACGATGCTTTTTTTAAAACTGACTTTTGTTGGGAGGTGCTATTTCTGGAGCACTGCAACTTTGTATTGAAGCCCTGCATATACTAGATACACCATTACCAGTAACATATCCCAAATAACGAAGTCCTTTCAGTTAGTCACGTTTGGAATCAGATGAAGGCTAAGCGTTCCACGTGGATGGAACCCCTGACCTCAAACACTGGAGTGGGAGGTATGGGCTCCAAGCATTTGAACAATTCGGTCTAGGAGTTTAGTAAGGGGCTTATACCAAGTAGAGTAATCACTACTAAGGGAAGTTATTACCATGAAGTTCTCGTGGATAAAGTATCTATGAGTACTGCAATGGCCGCATAACAACATACGACATAGCAACCATCAAAACAACTTTCAATTACAAATTGAGAACAATTTGCATAAAAAGTAAGAAGCTTGCGAATAACAATTGCCCTGGAACTAATGAAAAAGATTATTTTTGTTTGAGAACCCATCAGAAAAAATATATGCAATCGATCAATAGTGCCGTAGGAGTTCCCCAGTAATCCCAATGCGCTGAAGGTAGGGTAATAGCAAAACTTCGATTATAATAATTAATTAAGTTCTACCCAAAAATATTTCCATTTAAAATCAACAAGTTTTTCTGAAAAGTAGTCGAAATTGCCGCCTTTTCATATTGAACTCCCTGATAATTGAGCGGCTCAAAAGTGGTTATGTAAAACTTTACAGGGAAATGACTGGAGTTGTTGATTACTTGTTGATTACTACATAGTATTGAGCTCTACAGAGCAAAAAAAGTATCAAAGAATCAGAAGAACGATGAATCCAATCTGAACGACTGGTAAAACTCAAGTAGGTGGATCACACAGAACAAAAAGTGAGATCAAGGTGGAGTGAAACGAACAACAACACCAACTACAGCATTAAGAAAACTTGTTGTATTGCCTAAGAAGATGGAATGTTACAACCAAATATTGTCAACAACTACCATATTCATCACGACCGACCGACTGACTCGTTTGGACAACATTTGGGCAGCTGAGGGAGGACACCACGACACTACTACCCAACATACATATTTTCAGGCGCATGGTTGTCATTAATATGCGACGGGCCGTCGGTCATTCAAGGACAACCCAGCACGAATACCAACAACAACCTGCTACTTATTATATTCGAAGAAGATGGTAGTAATAGTGGCGTTGACCAGCTGCACCCGGTTCCCCACTTATTACTCCCACAGAAAACTTTGTTGCTTCCCAAGTTAATTAGCTTGGGACATCAGGCTGAGATGGGGAAAAACACACTCTATTGATATGTACGGAGTGGCGCACTAATACTATTAGGTATTCCACCGTTCCATTATCAGTAGCGGTCAGAATGGAACGGCCCGAACACGCTCTGACGAGCGCTACTGAGGTATAACTGGGGCAGTCAACACAGGAGCAGAAGGAATCGCAGGATGAACCCTGCAGGACCAGGTAGGAGGGTCGACTGGGACCGAATGGGGTAATTCCAAAGCACGTTACCCAACTGTTTCCACCCAAATCGGATGGTAATGGTATGGTATTCGAAGAATTCATGAATTCGCCGACTAGCCGATGACTACCACAACTGGCCTCCGAAAGACGGGGCATCTGCTCTCCTAATCATACACAAAGAATTACTTGGACGACGGCGGGCCGCACCCAGCCTGGTGTCGGCCCGCCGCCACCCCCACGGAAATCCAACCCCACACACGCACACATCAAGGCCACACGGATTAACCCCTTACTATCAGCTGTCCGTCCTCGTCCGGCTGCAAAATTTGCGATCCCCCCGCCACCAAACAACAAGTCATCTCCATTTCAGTTAATAGTATGGACAAAAACGAACTCAAGCAGAACTCTACCGAAATCTCCTAATTAAAAGAAAAACTTAAGTATTCTCTGGAAAATTCTTTTCAATCTGTTTGATACGGATTAACTTTCATTAGAACGTTACTTCGAAGTTATTCCCACAGCTAATCCATACTCCTTTACTGGTTACTTGAGGAACTCGTTGTTGAAAAAAAGCAATTATTCCCGAAGGGGAGAAAGCAATAATAGAAAATAAAATCTAATAAGTATAAGGAGCTTACAGATTTATCCGAGGACTTCCAGGGAGAGCCCAGAGGTGCTGTAGAATGCATCAGGGCATCTATGCTTTTGCATTCAGCCAGCCTCTTCATTATAGGATGTTTATAGGATGCTGAGTGAGCCGAACGGGCCATTTATACAAAAATTCGGGTTTAATAAACATTTCTGACATAACAGGCTTGTACGGACCGGAACGAGGCCCTGATTCTATCAATGGCACTTCAACGAGCAGGACCCCACAGTATACATCAGGAAGGACAGCGGCTACTAGAAAAATTACTTATTGATGAAAAAGTAGTAAAGAGGTAATTCTCATGAACAAGTCAAGGACACAGTGATTAGGCTATGTCCTCAGAATGCAACGTTGCTGTGTTCACATCAATGGGGAACAAAGAAATCACGTAGAAATTAGGACATCCTTCGACAAAGGTGGTGGGGACGCTGGCTGGCGAGGTTAGCCATTACGCAAGCAGCATGTGCACAGGTGTACAGGTGTACCGTCTACGATCCATAACAAGTATAAATCGAGTTAATACCATGGTAAAGATGAAATGGAACAGATTAAGAGCATATTCTAGAGAACAAGTGAATTATGAGCGACAGATTGTGAACGAGCTCATTACGACCTTGTTGTGCCCGTCAGGCGATGCCAGATCCCCGGATGATCGGGGTTGGAACAACCTCCTCCTCAGAGGGAAACACGAGAGATGTATGGGAGGACA